CCAGGCTGCCCGCACAGCTGGCCCCGACACCCTGGCATGGCACAAACATCCACAATCATCGTGAAATGACAGTTAAGAGGCAACAGACGGTGTGTTTGAGGCAGAGCCAGAAGCACTGCCCAAAACAAGAGAGATGCAGGTGGGAGACCCCTTCAAACTCTCCTCCTGTTTTTCAGACCCAGCTGATGCTGTCAACGTTTGTGCTGTGCACCTTTTCTAACAAAGGTGGTTTATTTCTGTAATAAACTTGTACATGATCCAAAAATGAGTGCGTAGTACAGATTTGTGTTGCAGCTGAAGCTCTGGTAGAGCTAAACATGTAGTACAGATTTATGTTGCAGCTGAAGCTCTGGTAGAGCTAAACAATGAGTTTTAACCCTCAGTATGTCTTGACTTGAAGAGTGTGAGTGACCCAGACAGCAGCTGGGCATCACATGATGATACCTGAACCAGAGACTTGGGCCTCCTGCAACCCAGGACCCACACAAGATGGGATTTTGTGGAAGTGTTTCCAGTACCATAAGCAGATGCAAAGTCTTCCACAGCACTGTCAGGCCAGGACAGGTGACACGGGACCTGCTGCTGCTCCAGTCGGTCCCTCCCAACCTGCAATATCTCCCACAGCAGCCACGTTACTCGAAAAGCCGCACTGACAGCTTAGCTTGAAAGGATCATTGTATTTCCTTCAGCAAAAAAATATTCCATGCAATCCCGGCTTTCGGTGTTGGACATCTAGAGAGAGTCTCTGCTAATAAAGCAAGCACCTTTGTTCCCAACAGGTGATTTAATTTCAAAACTAATGTAGGTTTTCTTTAGAGAGAGGGACTGACCCATGCAGGCAATGGCACTAAACAATTTACTGATGTTAATTAACTGCTGGCAGCATTAGGACAAAGTTGCACTCAATAGTTTTCATCACTGACCTTGCAGTACAAGCAGCTTCTCAAGACAGCATTTTCAACACTAAACCAGGCTCACGCTGACAAAACCCAGACTCAGTCTTCTAATTCCTCCCCAAAAAGACACCAGTGGAGCTTTGGTTTTGCGTGGAAAGAGAGGGCATCCTTCTGCAAAAGCGGCATCATTTCACAAACCCCCACGTAATAAAGGTGTGTGCAAGTGGAGGGAATAGCACTGACCCACATCAAGAATCCAAGGAATGCAAGAAAATGATGTCTGATTAGCTACACTTCATGAAAGCAGGGAAAAGCGTGTTTGTAGTTAAGCAATTAACTGAATTAGTTTTGGGCTGGCCAGCAGAAACACAAACCTGTACGTCAGGGAGGCGACAAGGAGAAGCCGCACGGGCTGAGGTCGGACTGAAAACTCAGCAAACACCGTGTTGCGTGTGCATGGGCTCCAAAGGGGGGAAGGAGCCTGGAAGGTGATTAACTCCCCCAGCCTGAACCCAGCACCTCGTTCCGAGCCTGGAGCCGGGTCGGCAGTGGCCGGGCAGGACTGGCAAGCTGCCGTGTGGCTGCACGCCGTGGGCAATAACCGCAGCCCAGAGCCCCTTGGCCAGGCGCGGGGATGGCTCTGGGGAAGCAGCTCTGCTGTGTGCCTGGGGCATTGCCAGTGGTTTGAGGGGTTTGGGGGAGGTTTGGTAGGATTCAGGCTGTTTGAATCAGGGGCTGATCAGGGTGAAAATGCTGCTCTATGCACAGCACTCCAGGTGCAAGCCTGTCCCAATAGAGTGGGTCACAATAAACATGGCCAGAGCTGAGGTCCCTGCTGTGAAGCTTGCCTCACACAGCCTTGGGAAGGTGCCCGTGGGCTAACATGTGGCCAGAGAACAAGGGGATTGCTCTGTGTTACCATCAGGGTGCTCACATCCACGCTGTCCTGCCCCTCCTCCTCCCCAGCTGCCCGCTTGTGCCCAGGGCACGGGCCACCCTGGCTGAAGCAGGAGGCAGAAAGAACAGCTTGGTTTTAGGAAGCCACTCCCAGATGCTGTGAGAAGCTCCATGGGGCTGCAAGGTGGCCGTGCTGCCCTGTGAGAGCAGGATCCGTCCCTCAGCAGCAGGGCTTGGCTCTGGGTGGCACCAAGCAGTCATGTGTCTGCCCTTGCGTAAGGTGCCAGCCCAGGAGTCACTCAGTCCCTGGGCATAAGCACCTTTGCTGCACACGTAATCCAGCCTGTGAAATGTCATATTCTCTCGCAGGATTAAACAGCAGCACCTGCTTTTGGAACGGGGCTTGCCCATGGTGAGTGACTCAACCCAGAGACCTCAGTGGCAGCAGAAGCACTTCACCCCACGGAAAGGCACAGACCTGGAGCTCATTCCCACAGGAATGACCCTGATCTCCTGGGGCTCTTGGTTTAATCCACTTTTATTTCCATTTCATGCCAACCAGGCCATGTGCACAACTCCTGTTAACGAGCATCACTCCACCCCATCACAGCTTAATAAGCAATCTTTGGAAGTGAGATTTCTGCAAAGTCTAATCAAAACTTATCTTCCACACTTAACATGTACGTTACACTGCAGCACTCCCTGGTTTTGACTAACGCCAAGGACTGAAGGAGAATTCTTTGTTTCCAAACAAATCTGTTTTTAAGAGAAGTTAAGGTTCTGTTTCAGGCCAAAAATGCTTTGAGAGAGACTTTAATGCTCTCCTCCTTTCTCATTAGCTGAACAAGGTGGGATTGCCTCTGAGACTGCAGCAGTCACGTATCTACACTATGGAAGAGAAGTGCAGCAGGACAGAGCGTGGAATAGCCCAGTTCTGGAACCCGCAGTAGGTAAAAAGGAGCGGTCAGAGGAGAGAAGCACGAGGTTTAAAATGCACCATTAAACCACCCTCATTGTTACACCAGGAAGGATGAGGAATAAAAGGCAAATAAAGGACCTACATAGTACCAATCCTGCTAAAACTGCAAAGTCCATTTATGTCCAAAGAGAATAGAAACAAACTTATCCATGGGTGCCAGCTAAGTTTTCTGTCTCTGTGATACTCCTACATGGTGCTAGTGGTCAGGACAGGGCAGACAGAGCTGGAGGAGCCCTGAAGGAAACAGCTTCTGCTTGGAACCAGGAAATTTGTTCTAGAACGGCAACGGGCCACAAAAGATGGAGTTACCAGATCCCTTGCAAGAGCTGGTTTCAGAGAGCTGACCCCTTCACTCAGAACTTAATCTTGCATCTTCATCTCCTCTTTCATTTATAAAAATGAAAGGGCCTTTAAAGTCCATCATTTGCACTTGAAAGTCTACAGCCTGAGGAGCGCTGGGTGGGAACCTCTGCTGCTGCCTGTCTGCACATCAGGCGGGCTGAAGCCTGCCAGTTCACCCGGGTATTCCCCCGTTTTGTTTGCAGGGGGGGCCGGGAAGCAGCATCAGTCACAGCAGCCCCGCATTTACAGTCACCCAGATAATTGCTCCCCAACCCTGGCCTGCTGGAGCGCTCCCTCCGTGCCAGGAGCCAAGGACCACAGGGAGCAAAGCTCTCCTGCTCAGATGTAACCCAGAATCCATAAACCCAAACAAAGGAAGAGATTTACCTGTACTCTAGCAACTCTCATCAGCAGGGCCTCCAGCAACAAGCTGCTCCTCAGCCAAGTGCCCACAGGATCCCCTCCATCACCTGATGCAGGAGCAGCCAAAAGAGGCACCATTTGCAGACTGGCAGAAGCCTGAACAGGGTGATGAGCCTCTTTTACAAGGGGAAAAAGCTGGTGGGCAGTCAGATGAGCTACTGGCTGCTGCAGCTGGGCTCCTCCGGCACTGACACAGCTGATGCTGGGAGCTGCAGTGATGCTGCTCTTACAGAGGCAAGGGAAAGGCTTCTCCTGCCTATTAATACCTATTAATGGCATTTGGGGGTGCCTGGGAGCTGGATGGGAGAAAAGCAAGAACAGAAACAAAATCTAAAATCTACCTCCAGGTTCGGCCAAAGTCCAGCCGAGTTCCTGGGCTCTTGTATGGGCATCTCTGAAAGCAGGCTTCGTACTACTAAATTCTGGGCATAATTTGCTTGATTTGTGCCTTGAAGTCAAAATCACAGCAGACCCCAGCCAAGAAAACAGCCACGAAGAGGGATGATAATATTTCAGACGTAACCTGAAGAGTTGACAAATGCACCCTCAACGCCTTAATGCAGATTACACAGACTGTGTTTACGCAGCACAACGATGTTAGAAAAGACCCAAAGAAAACACTTTGCATTTTGCATGGAGTATTCATCTCCTCCTTAACTATCAGTCCCATACTGGCTCAGACATATCATTTCCATGTCTACATGAGCCTGTCAAGACCTACTATCCCAATTAAAAGCGTTCTTGTGCACATCTTTCATTACAAAGATCAAATTCAGGAGAAGTGGTTTGGTAAATTCTGATGGTATCAAAGAACGTCAGCTGTACTGGGCCACAATTTCCAGGAGAAATGGGTCATCTTAATAATAGACTTTGTCCCTGTGCAGCAGCTTCAGTGTGGGTGTCAGCAGGGAGCCTTGGGGCTGGTGTCCCACAGGAGGTCAGGGAGATGGGCTGGCTACTGCTGGCCCGACACATCTCCAGCTGGAGAACATCAAACCTGGGCAGAGACCCGGGGTCCTGCTGGAGTCACCCCAGCTCTGTGGGAGAGGCCTGTAGATGTCCGAGGGTTTTTGACCACGTCCCAGCGGGGTTTGGGCTAAAACCAGTAGCTGAGGCTCTGCCCTTTCCCTGCTCACACGCAGATGGAGAGAAAGACCCTCTCTGACTCCAGCTACTCTGATATGAAGGAGGAATAAATTACCCCTATTTCAAGGAGTATTGCATCTCTCTCTGCTTCATCAGCAAGGCACCAGGATAATCCCCATGCTTTGCCTGATCCATCCAGGGCCTGTTTCTCTTCCATTCGGTGCTGTGTGGTGTTGACAGTAACAGGTGGCACATGGAGGAGGTGTGGGAAGGGTTCCTGTGCTGGTGCAATGGCACTTCGTATTCCTGTTGCCCCAACCAGCATAAGTGACCGCTCAAGGGGGCAGGCAGCGGGACTCAGACCCCTGTGTGTGACCTCGGAGTGGGGACCCATCCAGCTGCATGCGGTGTTCAGCACAACAGGCTGCTGCTTCAGCCAAACTGGGCAATGCCACGATCCCTGCAGGCGTGCTGAAAACCCGTGAGCTCATGGTGCTTGTCGTAAACAAAGGCTTCATGGAGCCAGGCATGGTCAAAGTGCTGCTGGGGTTCAGCTCGTGTCACCTGTCCCAGGTCCCCATGCCCAAGGCCAGTGCAGAGCTGAGCCCAGCCTGCTCGTCCGCCCTGAGCATCACAGGGGCATCTCTCCAATTACGCCAACCGACCAAGGCAAGCCCTGGCCGTGCACAGTCATTAATAAGGAAAACACAATGTGGCAGACTCTCAAGCGTAGGAGCAACATTCCCTGAACGTCGGTGTCCTCCTAATTCCCCTCAGCCAAGGTCAGCTGGGGTACGGAGCTGTCCCATCGCGTTCAAATGTGACAGTGCAGCAGGTGTCCTCAGGTGAATCCGCGTTCTGCTCAGATCGGCACCACTGGCCTGGGTGACGCCTGTCCATGCTCACGGCAACCTAGTGCAGGATTTGACACAATATACTCTACCTTTCTCTCCATTACTTTTTTCCCCTGTTCTTTGTTTCTAAGGGAATTTTGAAGGAAAAAATGCAGACGTACCCCCAAACCTTGTCGCTGCCGCTCCCACGTCTGCGGTGCTTGCACTGGAGGAATAACGACCTGCAGGTACAGAAAAGCCAGACAGCAAAGCCGAGCTCCACCAACCTCCTTCAAACCCTTTACTGCAGACTCCTGCTGTGTTCAAACGACCAGGATTTTCCTTGGGTTGGGTTTGTTTTGCTTTACTTGCCAGCGATGCAAATTTACCTGATACCTTAAAACCAAACCAGACCCAATGTTCC